GAGTTTCATATCATTATATCGTACGGCTCCCTAATAACAATGCCGTATCGTTATGGGGCTACACTGGGAAGAGGTGAGCTATGTCTGAGAGGAACAGGTTCGTTTTAGTCAGGTCCGTAGCCAGGGGGGGGGGCTCACGGGGCTTAAGCCCCCGAAATTCCGAAAGAAATTTAAACATGAAAGACAAACAGAAAATTCCAGTTATCTCAATCACATTATGTAAATATATGAAACAAATAATTGTAAATTTTTAGCCTATGTCCGTCCTTGAGGTCTAGCTATATCTATGCTAAAATTTAGCGATACCAGTTCAGCCGTTTTGGCATGAAAGCAGAACTTACAAACATACACACTTTCACATTTATAATATTAGTAGGGAAGTAGGGATATTCATTTGCCACTATAAAAAGACGTCTTTCATACCTATGGCATTTTCTTTTATCGCTACAATATTGGACATTTATTTGTTGTTCACTTTCATTATTCTTTTATTATTAATAGAACTTCTCCTCCCAGGATTTGCTTTGACGATAAGGTATCATCAACGGCAGTGAAGGCAGAATAAAGATTGTGGTGTGCGAAGATATCGTCCACTGATCAATCAACCGAGGTTTTAAAACCGTTGGCGTATTGCAATGAAAATTATTTTCACGGTATCAGAATACTTCTAACTACCTTAGCCACTTTGCCAGTGACAACAGCTAGTGTAGAAAGATCATTTTCCACTATGAAAAGAATTAAAACTCTACCGCGAAGTGTTATGCGCCATGAAAGATTGAGTTCACTCGCTATGATCTCTATTCACTGGGATATTGCTGTCGATCCTGATCACGTACTGGACATTGTATCAAAAAAAGAATCTGGAAGATTACTTTTTTGATAGTACAGGTCAAAGTTTTTGAGTTAAAGGTGTTATTCTCAGGTTTTTACCACATTACCACTTTGAAGTTGAGTCATTAATTTTCAGATAATGATTGTAGAAGGAAGATAAACCGAAATATGTGTGTAAAAATAAAAAAAAATAAAAAAAAATACCTTGTTTTATAAAGTATCCTCCCGACAAGTATTTCAGTGCGGACCTGTATTTGATCGTGAGATCTTGGCGCACCGGCATGCTCTCCCCTGTGAGGTCTTAAGTCACCTGATTCACGAGCCCGTTGTACTACATTAACAAAGGCACGAGGGGTGGTTGCACTCGATTGGGAAACCGATCCGCATAAACATGTGCCATTTTTTATTTCGTTTGAGCCACGCAGCAAACACCACTATTCACACACGCGTTACCGACTGACACATCGACTGAATAAAAACGTCGTGATCAGCGTTTCAAATTCTTTCGCTTTTTTGTTTCCGATGCGATGAACCGATAAGGCGGATTACATCCGTTGTTGCCAAACACGAGCACATAATATTATTATTGAGACAGGGCGGTACTCAAACTCCTAAAGGGCTATAACTTTGTTACTTTAATTTTACCACAAAAATGTTAAAGGAAAAAACATTTCTTTTGATCAGATCTACTCACTGTTAAAATAAATGACTCAACTTCGAAGTCACCTATATATATATAGGTGAAAAATTAAAGCTTCCGCCTTTTGTTGGGTACTTCAACAAAATTTAAGCAAAGAGGACTCTTTATACTTTTTTTAATTCTCTCCAGCTTTCAATGGACTTTGCCATCATCATCAGGAGCTGCAATTACAATGATAACAAAAGTGTAAAATGAATTTAAATTGACTCAACTTACAGTAGTATGTGAGGATGTTGCTAATTGTTGTTTACGTATAGGATGAGGGAAACGTCCAGTAACATGGTGAGAGCTGGATACATGGTACAATGGTCAAAATTATATAAAATATGACAAGACAAGTTAAAAACAGATTAAAAATTATTAAAAAAACATTAGAGCATTACGTCGTGAAGCCACTTGATGATTGCACAAAATGGTGGTCATGGAATAATGAGTGAGATGAACCTTTGACAGAAGGCCGAAGATTGTCAATGTCTGTGTTGAAAGATGGAACGAATTGTGGGCGTGTGCCAAACGTTGCCAAATCACTTCAGATGATGTGATTTTCAGAATGTTATGTAAGAAATTGTTAAACCGACCAGAGGCAGTTGAATAAACTATATTTTAATTAACGGGAATTTTAAATTAACAATTATTAATAAATCGTGAGAAGAGAATTATTAGATTTTGAGTGGAATGAAATTTGTTGGTGAAATCGGCCAAAACACAGATTATATTTATGGTTGTGAAAAGTCGAAATTTGGGGAGATATGTAAGTTCTCCAATTTCTCGCAGTTTAGCAAATATGAATAAATGACACTCAGTTGTTTAACATCTGTCTTTTTGTTGATACAGTTGTTATTCATGAAAATGTGGGACATTTCCAGGAATAAACGTTTGGAGATGTGTTTTTCTTTATCAAGAACTTTGATACTTGTGTAATTCATAGAATGCCCTATTGTGTTAACATGAGATGCTAGAGCGCATCTTTCAGGATCAAGCTTAGCATCACTTTTGTGTGATGTAATCCTTCCTTTAAGAGATCTGGAGGTCTGACCTATGTATATTTGGTTGCAGTTGTTGCAATTGATGGAGTAGACTGTGTTGGTTAAGCCAAGCAACGGGACTTTGTCTTTCAATCTATGACTAGTTTTGCTTTAGGCACCGATTTGTAGCCGACCAAGTTATCAATTTCTAAATTCGTTGAAATAATTCATCATACCGCCTATCCTTGAAAAAAGTTGTCGCATCCTTAAAATAGAAATAGACATAGAAACTAAGGACAGAACAAACACCACTCGCACCCAGCGAGCGCCAAGGGAAACCAAATTCATATTTCGAAGAAAATAGATAATAGGACCGGATGCTATAAAGTTGGACCTTTCAAATAGGCCGGGACAGAAACAAGGTTTGGAGATCTATTCTGTAATAACATTTGGTTGCTACAACTATAAAGTAACTACCAAAGGTGTGGTGAGAAATTTGAATCTCACCCATTTGGTTATCAGATGTTAGAAACTACCCCGAGCGCTGAACGGTCACGCGTCAGAGGCGTATCATGAGATATCTAAGACTTCCGGAGGCTAGCGTATTACTAAAAATTGTCATAGTTGTGGGAAAATATGAAAAAGAGGAGACAAACAGCTAGGTTTTAAGCAGAATTTTCCCCTAGCTGATAGGAGCAGGTGCGCCAGGCTGGATACGATTCTACCTTCTGTCAACGTACGCGTTGACAGATGCGGTTTGGAAGTTATCATTAGAGAGGAGCAGGTGAAACAATGAAAGACTGCGTAATTGTACCGAAGCTAACTTTGTTAAAATACATTAAAAATTCCAGAAGAGAGTCACCGTTAGTTTTACCTAAATTATAATATAATTATTTAAGAGAACATATCGAATTGTGGCTTCAGCATTACAGGAATTCCCAATCCATTGAAATTATTGAAAACTGCAGGGTTTGCCCCAAAGCAATTAAAGCCTCGAGACGCCACTGAAGGGGACGTGTTGCGTAAACTTAAGGGAAGACTGTACGCTGACGACACTCCTTGAGGTGGGGCAAGGGAACGTAATTAACCAACAGAGTTTAAGGCCATTTTGAGTTCAAAAATTAAGTCTAACAATCATTGGCCAAGTTAGTTTCCATCTTTAGAGAATCAGACGACCATTGCAAGGGTTGTAAACTGATCGACCAATGAGGAGACAAGGGCTGACCTCACTAAGAAAAGTGACCAGCCTTCTGATGGAGGGGAAAATCCGCAACTGACCTCCGATAATTTTGAAACTAAAAACTACAGTTCTTCTCTTATCTTTGATTTGTACGGTTGAAAAAGCTGCTTCGATTTACCCTCAGTTAGTGGCTGATAATAAGTGTTGCATTGGCAGTATTTGTGTTAAGTTGTGTTCTCATCAGTAAGCACTTCCAGTTACTTAACAGGGGGCGTTTCCCTTCTTTATTAGCCCTTCTGGCTAAAGCTAAAATAACGCCGAGTCAACTAAGGATTCTAAGCATTAGCTTGATTAGTTAGCATTGTAAAGTTGAGATTCTAGAGTTTAGTTTTGGTTCAAACTTAAATTTATTGTAACTTAGTGTCACCGTTCCTTTTAACTTAGTCGTAATTCATTCCTGCAGTGATCTTTTCTCCAGCCTGTTACTTTTACGAAGTTAACTGTCCTTTGTCATTGCTACTTCACTCTGCACGAGTCTATAGATATTTTGAGTCTGTAATTTAATTATTAATAAAAATGAGTCTCCTTTAACTTGAGTTCCATTAATTTTAGTAACTAAAGCTAACTGAGTTCGATGATTCCGAAAGTATTCATCAATGAGTCAAGATTATATTACTTTATGTCAGGTTCTACGCGAGTCTACCTCCTATAGGAAGACAATTAAAAGGTAACAGAATTGAAATTCGAGAGGTCTCGGACCAGTCCAGAAATTGGAGTATTGGACTGGAGGTCCGAACTATGTGTTCAAGGCACGGAATCGAGAGGTCCGGGAATCTCGGAGGAAGTCCCTGTTACAGATTTATCAAAGGTAAGTAATTTGATTACAATAGTGAGTATCTGAGGAGGTGATCTGCAAACCGCCGTTTTTGAAAAATTGGCAAATCTGGGTTAGGCATGTGATCGTATATTTTTAATGGTCCTCTATCCGATAAACCTAATTAAGAACGTCAAACTGCAGTTTTTCCCTTTGTAATAGCTAGTGAATTATTGTGGTGTTCTACAAAGCGCAGTATTTTGTTTCAACTAGGAATAACAAAACGCAATTTATTACTCCATGCTTGGAAAATCATAGCGCAACTTTTCAAATCTTAACTTGCTGATCAAAATTACACATGCACGACAAAACGCAGTATTTCTTTGAATAAGTGGGGGGATATTCAGACCGGCTGTGAATAGTTCAGTTGTTTACCGGCAGTTACGAAGTGTGCGTGTTATACTTTTGCGATCTGTTGCTGCTAAATTACGCAATATTTCGAAATTAAAAATGGATGATAGTAGTCTAGTGCTAGTTAGTGATGCATCTGATGGTTCGAGAAAAAGAAAACGAACTATGTCTAAACGAGAAAGGGCAAAAAAGTGCGGTAAGTTTGAATATAAAAGCAAGTGAGCGGAGTTGTTTTATATTTTTTATTGTTTTAGATACATGAATCATATGCCTAATGCTGAAGATTTTGAAGTGAAGTGCAAGCATTTAAAAACTGCACTCGAGTGTCATGGAGTTTCTACAGAGGATGTAAAACGTGTTAGAGAGTTTGTGTATAGACAACCAATAAAAACGATAATAGATGATAAAATAGCCCACTTAATTGAAGTTAAAAAGGAAAAAAGGTGAAGAAACATTGACAAATAAAGGCCAAGCAATTAGGCTGGACTATTTTTTAAGAAATATTAACTCTGAGAGGCTTTTAGTGTGTCAAACGACGTTTTTGGCTGCTTTGAAGATCTCACAACGGAATATCCTTACTATCGGAAAAAAGACGGCAGAAGGGCAGATAATTGAGAGAAGGGGAGGTGATCGGAGAAGCAAAAAATACGAGGAGCAGAAAAACAGTGTTAAAAAATTCATTGGGAATTTACATGCAAGTGAAAGTCATTACAATCGTAAGAAATCGAAGAGACTTTATCTTTCATCTGACTTGAATCTTGCGAAACTATCAAAATTTTATAATAGCTCTGTAGACCTGAATTTAAAAGTCTCGCGTCTTTATTTTTATAATATTTTTGTACGCTATTTCAATCTCGGCTTTGGGAATCCCGCAAAAGATGTATGTAGTCTATGTACCCGTCTGAAAAATACAATTAGATCCACAAAGAATGCAGCTATGAAAGGAAAATGTATTACTGAGCTGAGAATTCATAAATTGAGAGCTAAACAATTCCACCTTTTTTTGAAAGCAATTCCGGAGAACAGCTTCACAGTACGCTTTGGCTTGCAGCAAGTCCAAGCGTTGCCTAAAATGAACATAGGGGAAGCATTTTATCTAGGTCAACTTGCTCTATACAACTTTTGCATAACAGAACCTAGTACAAGACATCCTTACTTTTATACTCGGACAGAGAATCAAGCGAAAAGGGGACCGAATGAGATAGGATCAGCCATATACCATTTCTTGACAAATCGCGAGTTTCCAGAGAGTTGTAAATTAGTTAGACTATTCGCCGATGGATGCGGAGGAAGAAATAAAAATTCTTTTATCATCACCATATTGATGTTTTGGCTTTCCACTAAGGTACCTAAACATATTGAAGAGGCGGTCCTGTATTTTCCGGTGAGAGGTCATTCTTATCTGCCTGCAGACAGAGTATTCGGTCGGATAGAGAAGATCTGCAGAAAGCGGTCTGAAATTACCACTAAGGAAGAATACTGGAATATCTTTGGAGAAGTTGGGAATTTCAAAGTGATGGGACAAGATTGGGACTTGTTGGATTGGAAGGATTTTTCTAGTACAAAATTCAAGAAAATCAGTGGTATACAAGAAGTAAAGCGAGTTCATTTGAAAAGGGTTCGTGAACAGTGTTCGACAAAATTAGAAGTCTTCTACAGAAGAGACAACGATACAAAGTATCAGAACTACTTGAAACGAGGTGCGAAATTAGAAAATTACCAACCTAAGCAAATTGAACTGCGCAATAGCATTAAAAAAATTAAGCTTGAAAACGTTAAAACCCTATTAAAAAAGTATCAAGAAGACTGGGAAGATAATGAAACCTTCGCTTGGTACAAGAACCTACTAAATGAAAGAAGACATCCAACAGGAGACGAGGAAGAAACATGCCCGGAATCCGACGATGTAGATCCAGAATTGTGTGATTGTGCGGAGGAAGACATTGGCTTGAAAATATAATTATATAACTTTCCGTTTCATTTATGTTTCATATGAATAGATTGGTTTTTCAAAACGCAGTTTTAATACATGTGGAAAATCAAAATGCGGTTTTTTGTTTGTTTTTTTTGTATTAGTCAGCAAACGATAAGGACCTGATTCCAGCAGGTTAGTGTAGCCATTTCATTGTCTCTGAAATTTGAGGTGGTATGTTTGGCTTAGCATTCTACTTCTCCATTTACGCACCTTAAAAAAACGTCTTTATCTCAAAACGTTGAAATTTCAAAGACTGCAGTTTGCAGATCACCTCCTCATCTGCTACTTATTTAGTTTTGCTTCAGGTTCACTAGGGCAAGTTCACCAGGTGTATACACTGAATGCAAAATGCAGAATGCACCATACAATGTCAAAAACTAAATCAATCACTGAAGAGGATATACAGCATATTATTTCTGGCTACAATTTCTTAAACCTAGATGGAAATCATAAGAACAGAGTTGCAGGTACATAAGACATTCTCAAATTAGTGGTTTTCTAAAGGAGTTCATCTATATCAGCAGATCTGTTAGATATTAGTCTTCTCTGCTTTGGCTTGAGATAACAGACACAGGTAACAGTACGAACCTTTCTTTTCTGAGAAACGTTTCTCTTTACAGAAAAAAATATATACGACTTGCACAAAATAAGTACAATTTCTGGCTGTATTAGAGGTAATAAATTTTAAGCTTGTAACAACCTCCCTGCATTGCAGTACAAGGCTGGAAGTAATCTTACAGGCCCTTAGTGCCTTCGTTGCAGCCTGGATGTCGGAGAAGATTGTTATTCTTCTCCTAGGTACTCCCGCCTCCAAAATACGGTATGCACAAGCCAGAGTCATAAAGATTTCCGCTTGGAAAATAGTGGTGTATCCACCAAGAGGCAGAGATAGACTAGTTCTAGGCCCAGAGACTCTGGCGCCAGAGCCCACTCACTCCGGAGACCTTTCGGCTACTAGCGACCTACTCCGCCTTCGTTGCATACTCCACATTACACTTGCTGCTGAAGCGATATTTAGGGGTGATTGGATTATCTCTGCCAAATTCAAAGGTGGGAGATCCATTAGAGCTTCCATTGCATTCAGTCGTGTAGAGCCAGTGTACCACTTTGGGCTTAAGCCCCCACGTTACACCGACAACACGTGTAGTTCAGAATAAGTCAGGCAGCCCGTTAAGACTATTTTGCTTGGATCTGTGCTAGAACTATACCGGGTGTTCCAAATTCAACCATCACCGTTGGGAACTCGCAGTCCAGTAAGAGATACGAAGTTACTTAAATTGGGAAAAAGTTAAATTTTTTGGTAGCTAACAATATGCCACTTAGAAAGTTTCGATATTCACGGTACTGAGATTTTAAGTAAATTACACATTAATATTATCTCTCTTCTTCAAATGGCGTTTCGTGTTTTATCCTCCAGCTTCAGTTTTATTTTTTCTTATGAGTGTCATGTTGGATCTTAGCACAGGCAAATAGAGTTCTTGATGCTGATTTCCAAAATGTATACTCGTAATATGTAGGCCTTGAAGTTATAATTCCAGTGATACGTTTTCTTAGTTGGCTATGTATTTGTTGTTGAAAATTGTATGGAAATAAAAAGGTATGGTAAAACTTTAACACCAAATAAAAATTTTATTGATGGCACTAATAATAATAATAACGTGAGCAGAGATAAAACATAGTAGATGTTACTTTGTGCTCGGTTTATTTTCCTTTGTGTCTGGTCTGGTCTACAAAACAAATGACTATCTGATAATCATTGATCAACAGCCAAAAAATATCTTAAATAAAATCAACAAAATATTACTATTTTTAATGTGCTAAAACCGGAATGAAACTTATTTTTTCAATATTACTTCAAGTTTTAGAGATACGGTAATTATATGTGTTCCTGCTGTGTCAGTGTTAATATACTGTAATTCACAAGAATGCACGTGCTACATTTTTATATTCGGCAAGGAAAGATGATTAATCGGCATGATTGTGTTAGGTTATACATACGTGTACATTATATTGTTTTATATTAGCCATTTTTTCCTCAGTTGACTGACAGCGTTCATGCAAGATGTCTCGAAAGTGTGTAAACAATCCAGATCAGTTTTGTTACGTGTGTGGTGATGTAACTTTTGCATCTCAGAGACGGTCTATTACTCCACTAATAACAAAGGCATATCAGCTTCGGTTGTAAACTAGGTGATCAAGACAAACAGTGGGCACCCCACATCTGCTGTAATACATGTGCTTCAAGTCTGAGGAGCTGGTTAAATGGCAAAAAACGGTCTATGCGATTTGCTGTCCCAATGGTTTGGAGACAGCCTACAAATCATATTAATGATTGTTACTTTTGCATGGTACCTTGTGTTGGACAAGCCACAGGTATGTCCAAGAAAAAAAAATCGGTTATTAACTACCCAAACATACCATCTGCGATGAGACCTGTGCCTGACAGTGACGAAAATCCTATTCCAAAACCCCCAGAATCCTACACTTGCGGATCAGAAAACGAATCAGATCATGGCGATCGAGTGATTCGTCAGGAAGAAGATATGCCATCAACGTCAAGAGATCCTGATTTTATACCGAGCAGGTCATGCCATCAACCGCACAAAATAACACAGTCAGAAATAAATGATCCTGTAAGAGATTTAGAACTTCCAAAATGTAAGGCAGAGTTACTTGGATCAAGACTGCAGCAGTGGAACTTGTTAGAAGACGATGTTTCGGTATGTGTTTTTCGTAAACACCACAAAGACTTAGAACCATTTTTCAATATGGAGAATAACTTGGTTTTCTGCAGTAACATTAACGGCTTACTGGCGGCTTTAAATATAAACTATAACCCAGAAGAATGGAGATTGTTTATAGACAGTTCAACATTGAGTTTAAAGGCAGTGTTATTGCATATTGGAAATATTTTACCATCTCTTCCTGTAGGGTATGCAGTTCACATGAAAGAATCATATGACAATATGAAGTACCTATTGACATGCATAAAATACGATGAGCACCAATGGCATATTTGTGGCGATTTGAAAGTTGTTGCACTTTTGCTTGGGCTGCAGCTAGGCTACACAAAGTTTTGCTGTTTTTTGTGTGAATGGGACAGTCGGGCAAAGGCACTTCATTACACCAGACAAAACTGGCCTGTTCGTCAATTCCTAGAGCCAGGTCAAAAAAATGTACAGCATATGCCATTAGTAGATTCGAGAAAAATTTTATTACCACCACTGCATATCAAGTTGGGCCTAATGAAAAACTTTGTCAAGGCATTAGATAGAGATGAGTCAGCTTTTCAATACCTGCGTCAGAAATTTCCAAGACTAAGTGAGGCAATGGTCAAAGAAGGTATTTTTGTTGGGTCACAGATTCGAAATATTTTGACAGATACACAGTTTGAAAACACTTTAACAGGTATTGAAAAAACTGCTTGGAATGATTTCCATCTGGTGGTCACTAATTTTTTGGGAAATATAAAAGCTGACAACTATAAAACCCTTGTCAAAAATATGCTGTCATCGTATCAAAAGATGGGCTGTAATATGTCTCTTAAGATACATTTCCTACACTCACACCTGGACTTTTTTCCTGACAATTGCGGAGCCGTAAGTGATGAGCACGGCGAACGTTTTCATCAGGATATTTCAACAATGGAAAAAAGGTACCAGGGAAAGTGGAATCCTTCCATGCTTGCAGACTACTGTTGGACTCTTGGTAGAGATGCTCCAGAAACGATCCATAAAAGAACAGCAAAAAGACAGCGCATATAGTGATTCTTATAAGTATATGAATCTTGTTACTTTTTTTAATATATCATTAAAAATATTTTTTTTTCTAAACCGCAACTAATTTTTTTATTTCATTGTCATTTTTGGATTCAGCGCCCCAAAATTAACAAAGAAGTGCACTTTTCCCACAAGATACAATTAAAAAACTAAAATTTGTTGTCCAATAATTTCAAGCCATGCCTAGAAAATTTGTTTTTTTTAAGTACTGGGGTTTGGCAATGTCAATGTATGACATTATGGGCCAATTTCACCAACATTAATATTTATCTGTCTCTTAGACCAATAGGAACATACCTTATCGAAATGCAATTTGACAGAAGCTGTCAAAGCTCTCTGAAAATGAGTGATTTCTATTGATATGTTGAATAAAGTCGTGAAAAAACGGTTGCCTCATAAATAAGGGTACATTATGGATGTAATATTATGTTTTTGTGTTCTAGAATTAGGCTAACCTTCATAGAATTTCCCGTTTCACAAAAGACGGTCAGTTATTTAAAGTGGACCAATGGGAATGCGGCAAATAATAGGTCGATTTTCTAGCTATTATATTTGGTAGGAAGTTTTCACTGTTCTTGACGACTGTTTATACATGGCAATCTAGTTTTGTCTATATATCAGGTACAGGGTGTTGTACGTAATACGTACCTGTAGAAATGTACCGATTTTTGTTATTTTGCAAAGAAAATGATATAAAACGTGTTCCAACTGATTCATCATCTTTTGTTACATCAAAAACAATTTTTGCCAATTTATGATCTAGAAATCCTCACCAAATGTAAACAAACAGCACATTCTGCATTTATGGGTCCTAAAACGTCGATATTTGTAAAAGTATCCGCATCCGCCTATTATTCATCGTCTAGATATTATAAGTCAGAATCAAAAATAACACGTCTGGGATAGTCATGAGTCGTTCGCGAGCAAAATGAACCATTCATCTGTGTGAGCGATGATTGAACGACTCTTTTGTTACATATGACTCGTCCAATTGTGCAAAGCGTGTCTGCACGTCTGCGGTATCCAGCAACTGAACTCCGAACTGACAACAGACACAATCTCGGGAACCCAGTTGTTTTGTTTAGAGACGTCTCATTAAATTATACGTTGAAATGATGGGATTCGAGAGCAAAAATTGCATTTTGGTTCAGAATTCGGCAATTCCTCAAAACCGAACCACATACCCCTTCTTTTTTCGGAGGAATG